CATACCTAGATCTTGCATACCTAGATCTTGCATACATCTTGCATACTGTCCAAAATGACGAGTCAAACCAGAAGGGACAGAGCTCTGCGGGGCCAACAAGACTTATACCTAAATGATGGAATTCCATTAGTCTATCACCTATCCCCTAGGCCAGTGGAGTGGCCTTCCAGCCCCTAAAACTCGGGGTAAGGGGGGGGAGGGAAGGCGCGCCATGTGAGGGGGAGGTGTGTCAAGTCACCTTACCTTGCGGTTACCTTGCGTTAATTCCCGAGGTCAAAGGTCAACCCTCCCCCCCCCCCCCGGGCCCAGTCACCCCCTCCCCCCATGCCCCAACACCTGGTTCATTGCCGTCAGAGATGGTGGGAAAGGAGGGGGGAGGGTGAGGGTGGGAAAGGAGGGGGGGGGAAAGGAGGGGGGAGGGTGAGGGTGGGAAAGGAGGGGGGGAGGGGTGAGGGAGGGAAAGGAGGGGGGAGGGTGAGGGTGGGAAAGGAGGGGGAGGGACGGGAGGGGGGGAGGGTGGGGGAAGGCATTGATGGAGGACAATTAAAGAGAGGAAGGAGAGAGAACTGGGTCAAAGCACTGCAGTGGCAGAGATGCGTGAGACGCCCCCCCCACTACCCCCACACCCCCCTCCTCATAAAAATTCTCACCCCCTAAAAAAAACACAAGTCACACCGGGCATAAAAAGCAGAGATCCAGAGGCATTAGCCTCACGCAGCAGCAGCAGCGACGACGACAACGACGACGACGACGACAGCAGCAGCAGCAGCGACAGCAGCAGCGGCAGCAGCGACAGCAGCAGAGAGCGTGCCTGCCCGGCTCCTTCCTCCCCCCCCTCCACACACACACACACACCGGAGTCATAAAAAAATGGAGTTTCCGGTTTTCCGGGAAAAACCCGTTTCCCCAAAACCGGAGCCAGAGAGTTACGGTAAGGGGCGAGAAGTCGGACTGGCGAACAGTAACAAGTGGAGTACCTCAAGGATCGGTGCTGGGACCAATTCTATTTCTTGTATATGTTAACGACATGTTTACAGGCGTAGAGTCCTACATGTCGATGTTTGCGGATGACGCAAAGTTGATGAGAAGAGTTGTGACAGATGAGGATTGTAGCATCCTCCAAGAGGACCTGAACAGGTTGCAGAGATGGTCAGAGAAATGGCTACTGGAATTCAAAACGAGCAAATGTAAAGTTATGGAAATGGGACTAGGAGATAGGAGACCAAAGGGACAGTACACAATGAAGGGGAACAGCCTACCTGTAACGACGCGTGAAAGAGACCTGGGGGTGGACGTAACACCTAATCTATCTCCTGAGGCACATATAAATAGGATAACGACAGCAGCGTACTCTACACTGGCAAAAGTTAGAACATCATTCAGAAACCTAAGTAAGGAGGCATTTAGGGCGCTTTACACTGCCTACGTGAGGCCAGTCTTAGAGTATGCCGCCTCATCATGGAGTCCCCATCTGAAGAAGCATATAATGAAACTGGAAAAGGTTCAGAGGTTTGCAACGAGACTCGTCCCAGAGCTACGAGGGATGGGGTATGAGGAGCGCCTGAGGGAACTGTGCCTTACGACACTAGAAAGAAGAAGGGAGAGGGGGGACATGATAGGAACGTATAAAATACTCAGAGGGATTGACAGAGTGGACATAGACGAAATGTTCACACGGAATAGTAACAGAACGAGGGGACATGGGTGGAAGCTGGAAACTCAGATGAGTCACAGAGATGTTAGGAAGTTTTCTTTTAGCGTGAGAGTAGTGGGAAAATGGAATGCACTTCAGGAACAGATTGTGGAAGCAAATACTATTCATAATTTTAAAACCAGGTATGATAGGGAAATGGGACAGGAGTCATTGCTGTAAACAACCGATGCTCGAAAGGCGGGATCCAAGAGTCTATGCTCGATCCTGCAGACACAACTAGGTAAGTACACACACACACACACACACACACACACACACACACACACACACACACACACACACACACACACACACACACACAGAGCAAGGAGAAATCCCAGAGATAAGAGAGGGAATAGCTAACCAGGAACCACTGGAAGAGTTTGAGATTACCAGCGGGTAAGTAAGGAAGTGTTTACTAGAGTTGGATGTGACAAAGGCTATAGGTCCAGATGGAATCTCCCCTTGGATACTAAAGGAAGGAGCAGAAGAACTGTGCCTCCCGCTCTCCATGGTGTATAACAAATCACTGGCAACAGGGGAACTGCCAGAAATTTGGAAAGCAGCTAACGTAGTCCAGATATACAAGAAAGGGGATAGACAGGAGGCACTGAACTACAGGCCAGTGTCCCTAACTTGCATACCATGCAAGCTGATGGAGAAGATTGTGCGAAGAAAACTAGTGGAGCACCTGGAGCGAAAGAACTTTGTAACACAGCATCAACATGGGTTCAGGGATGGCAGGTCCTGCCTCACAGGGTTACTTGAATTCTACGACCAGGCAACAAAAATAAGGCAAGAACGAGAAGGGTGGGCAGACTGCATATTTTTGGATTGTCAGAAAGCCTTTGACACAGTGCCACACAAGAGGCTAGTGAAAAAACTGGAGATGCAGGCTGGAGTGAAATCGAAGGTACTCCGTTGGATACAGGAGTACCTAAGCAACAGGAGACAACGAGTCAGTGTGAGGGGTGAGGTCTCAGATTGGCGAGACGTTACGAGTGGAGTACCGCAGGGGTCAGTCTTTGGACCTATACTGTTTCTGATATATGTAAATGATCTTCCAGAGGGTATAGAATCGTTTCTCTCAATGTTTGGCGATGATGCAAAAATTATGAAGAGGATTGAAACTGAGGACGATAGTAGGAGGCTACAAGATGACCTAGACAGACTGAGTGAATGGTCCAACAAATGGCTGTTGAAGTTCAACCCAAGTAAATGCAAAGTAATGAAACTAGGCAGTGGAAATAGGAGGCCAAACACTGGATACAGAATAGGAGATGAAGTACTTAACGAAACGAACAGAGAGAAAGATCTAGGAGTTGATATCACACCAAACCTGTCTCCTGAAGCCCACATAAAAAGAATAACGTCTGCGGCATATGCGAGGCTGGCTAACATCAGAACAGCGTTCAGGAACCTGTGTAAGGAATCATTCAGAATCTTGTACACCACATATGTAAGACCAATCCTGGAGTATGCGGCCCCAGCATGGAGCCCGTACCTTGTCAAGCACAAGACGAAGCTGGAAAAAGTCCAAAGGTATGCCACTAGACTAGCCCCAGAACTAAGAGGCATGAGTTACGAGGAAAGGCTGCGGGAAATGCACCTTACGACACTGGAAGACAGAAGAGTAAGGGGAGACATGATCACAACCTACAAAATCCTCAGAGGAATCAACCGGGTAAACAAGGATAAACTATTCAACACTGGTGGGACGCGAACAAGGGGACACAGGTGGAAACTGAGTACCCACATGAGCCACAGGGACGTTAGAAGGAACTTTTTCAGTGTCAGAGTAGTTAACGGATGGAATGCATTAGGCAGTGATGTGGTGGAGGCTGACTCCATACACAGTTTATAATGTAGATATGATAGAGCCCAGTAGACTCAGGAACCTGTACACCTGTTGATTGACAGTTGAGAGGCGGGACCAAAGAGCCAAAGCTCAACCCCCGCAAGCACAAATAGGTGAGTACAAATAGGTGAGTACACCCACACCCACACACACACACACACACACACACACCACACACACACACACACACACACACACACACACAGATGTGTGGAACAACTTGAGTTTATGAAGCAAGTTTCAACTTTGATCAAGTTTGGCCGTCTGGCCCAACAGGACCTAAAACCCCTTACCGCCTTGGACTTTATGACGTCAGAGTGCCACATGTCCTACACATGTGGAAAAAAACCAACATATGTGTTATTTTGGCTGGGTCAGGATTGTGCCCCGTCTCCTGTGCTTAGTCTAACCTATAGGCCTAACCCCCCCCCTCTACAACCCCCCCCCCCCCCAGCAAGTAGGGGGGAGGGGGGGGGGGCTACGTAGGCCGGTCCAACACCCAAACATTGATCCTACACCACGTGTGTGGGCTGGCACTGGCACTCCTACCCCCCCTCCCCCCCCCTCTCCTGCCTCCCTCCCTTCCTCTTTCTCCCTTCCCACCTCTCTGCTGCTCCCATTCCATCTCCATCTCTCTCTCTCTCTCTCTCTCTCTCTCTCTCTCTCTCTCTCTCTCTCTCTCTCTCTCTCCATGACAAGATGAAGCGGGACACATCAGCATATTTTAAGGATGGAATCAATCAATTTTCCTGCTTATTAAAGATAGTACAAGTAGTACACTAAAGTTACACCCACCTTCACTACACCCTAACCTCCGGGTGTCGCTCACACCACCCAAACTGGGCCCCAGGAGCACAACCCCAAACAACCCAACACCACCCTTGGAAGCTCCTAAGTTTACTTGCACCCCCCAGAATGTACACCCCCCCCCACCTCCACAACCCACACCCACATGCAGGACACATCCCACAACAGTCTAATAAACCCCCGGGGGGGGGGGGGGGAACGTTAGGAGTTTATATATACCACAAAATAAACACAACAAATTAGCACCCTCGCAAATGATGGATTAAAAACCTCCTATCTCTTCTTTCCTTTTGTGGTGGATTGTGTGTGTGTGGGGGGGGGGGATTGGTGGAGTGTGTTGGGGGGATTGGTGGATTGTGTTGGGGGGATTGGTGGATTGTGTGGGGGGGGGGGGTGGAGGAGTGTGTTGGAGGAAAGGTTTAGAGGAAAAGTTTACAGGCTCTCAAAAATATTTGAGAGAATTTTAGCCCAATATCCGCGCAGATTTTACACCGCTTCAAAATGGTAAGCTGAGAGAGTACTTTTGGCAAGACCGGAGGGGGTTTGATACCTGGTTGATGGGGTTCTGGGAGTTCTTCTACTGCCCAAGCCCGGCCCGAGGCCAGGCTTGACTTGTGAGAGTTTGGTCCACCAGGCTGTTGCTTGGAGCGGCCCGCAGGCCCACATATACCTGGTTGATGGGGTTCTGGGAGTTCTTCTACTGCCCAAGCCCGGCCCGAGGCCAGGCTTGACTTGTGAGAGTTTGGTCCACCAGGCTGTTGCTTGGAGCGGCCCGCAGGCCCACATATACCTGGTTGATGGGGTTCTGGGAGTTGTTCTACTGCCCAAGCCCGGCCCGAGGCCAGGCTTGACTTGTGAGAGTTTGGTCCACCAGGCTGTTGCTTGGAGCGGCCCGCAGGCCCACATATACCTGGTTGATGGGGCTCTGGGAGTTGTTCTACTGCCCAAGCCCGGCCCGAGGCCAGGCTTGACTTGTGAGAGTTTGGTCCACCAGGCTGTTGCTTGGAGCGGCCCGCAGGCCCACATACCCACCACCGCCCGGTTGGTCCGGCACTCCTTGGAGGAAACTATCTAGTTTCCTCTTGAAGATGTCCACGGTTGTTCCGGCAATATTTCTTATGCTCGCTGGGAGGGTGTTGAACAACCGTGGACCTCTGATACAGTGTTCTCTGATTGTGCCTATGGCACCTCTGCTCTTCACTGGTTCTATTCTGCATTTTCTTCCATATCGTTCACTCCAGTACGTTGTTATTTTACTGTGTAGATTTGGTACTTGGCCCTCCAGTATCTTCCAGGTGTATATTATTTGATATCTCTCTCGTCTTCTTTCTAGTGAGTACATTTGGAGAGCTTTGAGACGATCCCAATAATTTAGGTGCTTTATCTCGTCTATGCGTGCCGTATATGTTCTCTGTATTCCCTCTATTTCAGCAATCTCTCCTGCTCTGAAGGGGGAAGTGAGTACTGAGCAGTACTCGAGACGGGACAACACAAGTGACTTGAAGAGTACAACCATTGTGATGGGATCCCTGGATTTGAAAGTTCTCGTAATCCATCCGATCATTTTTCTGGCTGACGCAATATTTGCTTGGTCATGCTCCCTAAACGTTAGGTCGTCGGACATTATTATTCCCAAATCCTTGACATGCTGTTTACCTACTATGGGCAGATTCGATTGTGCTTTGTATCCAGTATTATGTTTCAGAATAATATCTACAAATCAAGCACTTGATTCAGATCTTTAAATACCAAATATTTTAGGGACGATTGTGGCATTTTCGGGTATTGTTGATAACATGTGTCAGAGATAGGGGAGGGGGGGATTTACCAGGGGAAAGCGCCAAGTCATTACGACTATATAGCACTGGGAAAGAGTCAGGATAAGGATTGGGGATGGGACGGGGGAAGGGAAGGAATGGTGGCCCAACCACTTGTGGTGGACGGTCGGGGGATTGAACGCCGACCTGCATGGAACGAGACCGTCGCTCTACCGTCCTGCCCAAGTGGTTGACTGGTCTAGCTAGGGGTCTTAACAGCTTGGGCTCGCTGTTAAGACCCCTAACGACAGACTCATCTGTCTTGGGAGAGACTCATCTGTCTTGGGAAAGACTTTTCTGTCTTGGGAGAGATTTCTGTCTTGGGAGAGACTTAACACTCTTGAGAGAGACTCATCACTCTTGGAAGAGACTCATCACTCTTGAGAGAGACTCATCTCGCTAGAACCTTCCCGGATCTTAAGGCTCTAACTGCCAGTTCCGGGCTCAAGTGCTTGAAAATCATTTCTTAATGTGTTATCCAATTTCATTTCGATATACTTCAAATGAGACCATGAGAAACTTGTCTTAATGAGTGGCATTCAGGGGTGATCACGACATATTGAGAGACTCAGAGGGAGGGGGGGGAGGGAGGGGGGGGGAGTGGGAGAGTAGAGAGCAAGATGGCGTAGAGGTGTATCTGTAGGGAGGGGGGGGGGGGGGGGGGGGAGGCAGCAGCTGGGAGGAGCGAGATAGCGTAATCTGCCGTAAATGACATCCTGCAGATGCTTGGCTGGCAACAAGATGCAGCATCCCAGCGTCCTCCCCACACACACACACACACACACACACACACACACACACACTAGGGGACACAGGTGGAAACTGAGCGCCCAAATGAGCCACAGAGATATTAGAAAGAACTTTTTTAGTGTCAGAGTGGTTGACAAGTGGAATGCATTAGGTGTACCCCAGGGCACAGTCCTGGCACCACTGCTCTGTACCCCAGGGCACAGTCCTGGCACCACTGCTCTGTACCCCAGGGCACAGTCCTGGCACCACTGCTCTGTACCCCAGGGCACAGTCCTGGCACCACTGCTCTGTACCCCAGGGCACAGTCCTGGCACCACTGCTCTGTACCCCAGGGCACAGTCCTGGCACCACTGCTCTGTACCCCAGGGCACAGTCCTGGCACCACTGCTCTGTACCCCAGGGCACAGTCCTGGCACCACTGCTCTGTACCCCAGGGCACAGTCCTGGCACCACTGCTCTGTACCCCAGGGCACAGTCCTGGCACCACTGCTCTGTACCCCAGGGCACAGTCCTGGCACCACTGCTCTGTACCCCAGGGCACAGTCCTGGCACCACTGCTCTGTACCCCAGGGCACAGTCCTGGCACCACTGCTCTTTCTCATTCTTATCTCGGATATAGACAGAAATAGTCACAGCTTCGTGTCATCCTTTACTGATGATATAAAAATCAGCATGAAAATTTCCTCTTTAGAAAACACTGAAAAACTAGAGGTAGATATTAATAAAGTCTTCACTTAAGTAACGGAAAATAACATGATGATTAACAGTGACAAGTTCCAGGTACTGAGTATGGTGGAAACGAGGAACTTAACGAAACACAGGGTACAAGACACAATCAGATTTAATCATAGATTGACAGCAACATGTAAAAGATCTGGGAACTATGATGTCTGACGACCTGACATTTAGTGAACATAACCGAGCAAATATAGCGGCGGCGGCGGCCAGGACAATGATAGGATGGATTATGAGAACGTTCACATCCAGAAACCCCACAGCAATGTTAATACTATTTACATCACTGGTGCTGTCCCGTCTTGAGTACTACTTGTTACTCACTATCCCTTTCAGAGCAGGAGAGATATTTGAATAGCAGCAATACAGAGAACATATACGGCACGCATAGCCACGATTAAACATATAAATTATTGGGACCGTCTCAAAGCTCTCAAAACGTACTTTCTGGAAAGGAGACGAGGAAGGTATCAGATAAGATATACATAACAAATACTAGAGGGTCAGGTCTCAAATTTGCACAGTAGAATAACATCTTACTGGAGCGAAAGGTACGGAAGGAAATGCAGAATAGAACCAGTGAGAAGTAGAGGTACCATAGGCACAATCAGAGAACTATGTACGAACTCCATCCCAGCAAGCATTAGAAGTATTACCGAAACTAAGGTAAACATCTTCAAGAAGCATTTAGATAAGTTGTTGCAAGAAGCATCGGACCAACCAGGTTGTAGTGGATATGTGGGCCTGCAGGCCGCCCCAAGCAATAGTCTGTTGAGCCATTTTATCACAAAATGAGCCTGGCCTCTATATAAAGGAGAGTACAGTGTGTGTCAAATAACTAGCTACGTTTTCCAAGTGTGGGAGGCAGGCAGGTCGCGACTCACACTACGGTACACGCATGCTCGAGCCTGCAGGCGCAGATAGGTGAGTGCTAATAGGCGAGTCCACACCGTGGGTTTTAGTGGTGTCAACTGGTGACACCGGGCGGGGTACGACACGGAGGGGTGACACCGGGCGGGTTACTACACCCGGAGGGGTGACACCCGGTCAGGAAGCTGGAGTGGGAGGGTTATAGCTTATATGAACACTTCACGCGGGCATAAGCTCTAAACCCAACATCACACCACCACCACGCCACCACCACGCCAACACCACACCGCGCCTCGCCACCTATGGGGCCTGGTAGCCTGGTGAATAACGCGCAGGACTCGAAATTCTATGGCGCGGGTTCGATTCCCGCACCAGGCAGAAACAAATGGGCAAGTTTCTTTCACCCTGAATGCCCCTGTTACCTAGCAGTAAATAGGTACCTGGGAGTTAGTCAGCTGTCACGGGCTACTTCCTGGTGTGTGTGTGTGGTTCGTGAAGAAAAAAAATAGTAGTTAGTAAACAGTTGATTGACAGTTGAGAGGCGGGCCGAAAGAGCAAAGCTCAACCCCCGTAAACACAACTAGGTGAACACACCAACAGCTCTCATTGGTTACTGAAGCCCCGCTCTCATTGGTTACTGATGCCCCGCTCTCATTGGTTACTGATGCCCCGCTCTCATTGGTTACTGATGCCCCGCTCTCATTGGTTACTGATGCCCCGCTCTCATTGGTTACTGATGCCCCGCTCTCATTGGTTACTGATGCCCCGCTCTCATTGGTTACTGATGCCCCGCTCTCATTGGTTACTGATGCCCCGCTCTCATTGGTTACTGAAGCCCCGCTCTCATTGGTTACTGATGCCCCGCTCTCATTGGTTACTGATGCCCCGCTCTCATTGGTTACTGGAGCCCCGCTCTCATTGGTTACTGGAGCCCCGCTCTCATTGGTTACTGATGCCCCGCTCTCATTGGTTACTGATGCCCCGCTCTCATTGGTTACTGATGCCCCGCTCTCATTGGTTACTGAAGCCCCGCTCTCATTGGTTACTGATGCCCCGCTCTCATTGGTTACTGATGCCCCGCTCTCATTGGTTACTGATGCCCCGCTCTCATTGGTTACTGAAGCCCCGCTCTCATTGGTTACTGATGCCCCGCTCTCATTGGTTACTGATGCCCCGCTCTCATTGGTTACTGAAGCCCCGCTCTCATTGGTTACTGAAGCCCCACTCTCATTGGTTACTGAAGCCCCGCTCTCATTGGTTGCTGATGCCCCGCTCTCATTGGTTACTGAAGCTCCGCTCTCATTGGTTACTGAAGCTCCGCTCTCATTGGTTACTGATGCTCCGCTCTCATTGGTTACTGAAGCCCCGCTCTCATTGGTTACTGATGCTCCGCTCTCATTGGTTACTGTAGCCCCGCTCTCATTGGTTACTGAAGCCCCGCTCTCATTGGTTACTGAAGCCCCGCTCTCATTGGTTACTGGAGCCCCGCTCTCATTGGTTACTGAAGCCCCGCTCTCATTGGTTACTGAAGCCCCGCTCTCATTGGTTACTGAAGCCCCGCTCTCATTGGTTACTGAAGCTCCGCTCTCATTGGTTACTGATGCTCCGCTCTCATTGGTTACTGAAGCCCCGCTCTCATTGGTTAGTGATGCCCCGCTCTCATTGGTTACTGAAGCCCCGCTCTCATTGGTTACTGAAGCCCCGCTCTCATTGGTTACTGAAGCCCCGCTCTCATTGGTTAGTGATGCCCCGCTCTCATTGGTTACTGGAGCTCCGCTCTCATTGGTTACTGATGCCCCGCTCTCATTGGTTACTGAAGCCCCGCTCTCATTGGTTACTGAAGCCCCGCTCTCATTGGTTACTGAAGCCCCGCTCTCATTGGTTACTGAAGCCCCGCTCTCATTGGTTAGTGATGCCCCGCTCTCATTGGTTACTGAAGCCCCGCTCTCATTGGTTACTGATGCCCCGCTCTCATTGGTTACTGATGCCCCGCTCTCATTGGTTACTGATGCCCCGCTCTCATTGGTTACTGATGCCCCGCTCTCATTGGTTACTGATGCCCCGCTCTCATTGGTTACTGATGCCCCGCTCTCATTGGTTACTGATGCCCCGCTCTCATTGGTTACTGATGCCCCGCTCTCATTGGTTACTGAAGCCCCGCTCTCATTGGTTACTGTAGCCCGGCTCTCATTGGTTACTGTAGCCCCGCTCTCATTGGTTACTGTAGCCCCGCTCTCATTGGTTACTGGTGCCCCGCTCTCATTGGTTACTGATGCCCCGCTCTCATTGGTTACTGATGCCCCGCTCTCATTGGTTACTGATGCCCCGCTCTCATTGGTTACTGAAGCCCCGCTCTCATTGGTTACTGTAGCCCCGCTCTCATTGGTTACTGGTGCCCCGCTCTCATTGGTTACTGGTGCCCCGCTCTCATTGGTTACTGATGCCCCGCTCTCATTGGTTACTGATGCCCTGCTCTCATTGGTTACTGGTCATGCCACGCCCACTGTGGGTATAGCAGCTTCACCCCCCCCCCATTAACCTTGACACCCAAAGTACAATCAGATTACAATATATTACAAAAAAATTATCCCTGGGATTACAGGAAACTAGAGAACAACAGTGTGTAATTCCCAGATTATTTGGTTCTGTGTTGCCTAGAGTCAGGACAGGAGAGGTGTTACCAACTGGAACTGAACGAACAACAGTAGGAAGCGCGCACATGTATGGTTGTAAATGACGATGAATAGCAGGTGTGGGAGCAGGGTTGGTTGTGTGCGTGCTGCTGGTATCACTCTCTCACGCACACGCGCGCGCACACACACACACACACACACACACACACACACACACACACACACACACACACACACACACACACACACACACACACAATATGACAGAGCCCAGTAGGCTCAGGAATCTGTACACCAGTTGATTGACAGTTGAGAGGCGGGACCAAAGAGCCAGAGCTCAACCCACGCAAGCACAAATAGGTGAGTACACACACTCGGGACCAAAGATCCAGAGCTCAACCCCCGCAAGCACAAATAGGTGAGTACAAATGAGTTCACACACACACACACACACACACACACACACACACACACACACACACACACACACACACCAGCCTACCTGTAACGACGCGTGAAAGAGACCTGGGGGTGGACGTAACACCTAATCTATCTCATGAGGCACATATAAATAGGATAACGACAGCAGCGTACTCTACACTGGCAAAAGTTAGAACATCATTCAGAAACCTAAGTAAGGAGGCATTTAGGGCGCTTTACACTGCCTACGTGAGGCCAGTCTTAGAGTATGCCGCCTCATCATGGAGTCCCCACCTGAAGAAGCATATAATGAAACTGGAAATGGTTCAGAGGTTTGCAACGAAACTCGTCCCAGAGCTACGAGGGATGGGGTATGAGGAGCGCCTGAGGGCACTGTGCCTTACGACACTAGAAAGAAGAAGGGAGAGGGGGGACATGATAGGAACGTATAAGATACTCAGAGGGATTGACAGAGTGGACATAGACGAAATGTTCACACGGAATAGTAACAGAACGAGGGGACATGGGTGGAAGCTGGAAACTCAGATGAGTCACAGAGATGTTAGGAAGTTTTCTTTTAGCGTGAGAGTAGTGGGAAAATGGAATGCACTTCAGGAACAGGTTGTGGAAGCAAATACTATTACTAATTTTAAAACCAGGTATGATAGGGAAATGGGACAGGAGTCATTGCTGTAAACAACCGATGCTCGAAAGGCGGGATCCAAGAGTCAATGCTCGATCCTGCAGACACAACGAGGTGAGTACAACTAGGTGAGTACACACACACACACACACACACACACACACACACACACACACACACACACACACACACACACACACACCCACACACACACACACACACACACACACACACACACACACACACACACACACACACACACACACACACAGGAGCTTACCGACTCTCTGTACACACTACAGTACTGAGCTTCCACATATCTGTCACTGGGAACCAACATGACAATTTACTAACAAACATTTTTCAAATGGAAAAATATGTATGGAATTTTAAAGTTTAAATATTACCTTTAACATCAAAGTCACATATGATGCTGAAATGATTTGGCAACTATCACTGTACCTGGTCACGGATGGCACTGTACCTGGTCACGGATGGCACTGTACCTGGTCATGGATGGCACTGTACCTGGTCATGGATGGTACTGTACCTGGTCATGGCTGGCACTGTACCTGGTCATGGCTGGTACTGTACCTGGTCACGGATGGCACTGTACCTGGTCATGGATGGCACTGTACCTGGTCATGGATGGTACTGTACCTGGTCATGGCTGGCACTGTACCTGGTCATGGCTGGCACTGTACCTGGTCATAGCTGACACTGTACCTGCTCATGGATGGTACTGTACCTGGTCATGGCTGGCACTGTACCTGGTCATAGCTGACACTGTACCTGGTCATGGATGGTACTGTACCTAGTCATAGCTGGCACTGTACCTGGTCATGGATGGTACTGTACCTGGTCATGGCTGGCACTGTACCTGGTCATAGCTGACACTGTACCTGGTCATGGATGGTACTGTACCTGGTCATGGCTGGCACTGTACCTGGTCATAGCTGACACTGTACCTGGTCATGGATGGCACTGTACCTGGTCATAGCTGGCACTGTACCTGGTCATAGCTGACACTGTACCTGGTCATGGATGGTACTGTACCTAGTCATAGCTGGCACTGTACCTGGTCATGGATGGTACTGTACCTGGTCATAGATGGCACTGTACCTGGTCATGGATGGTACTGTACCTGGTCATGGATGGTACTGTACCTGGTCATAGCTGGCACTGTACCTGGTCATGGATGGTACTGTACCTAGTCATAGCTGGCACTGTACCTGGTCATGGATGGTACTGTACCTGGTCATGGATGGTACTGTACCTAGTCATAGCTGACACTGTACCTAGTCATACCTGGTACTGTACCTAGTCATAGCTGACACTGTACCTGGTCATGGATGGTACTGTACCTGGTCATGGATGGTACTGTACCTGGTCATAGCTGGCACTGTACCTGGTCATGGATGGTACTGTACCTGGTCATGGATGGTACTGTACCTGGTCATAGCTGGCACTGTACCTGGTCATGGATGGTACTGTACCTAGTCATAGCTGGCACTGTACCTAGTCATAGCTGGCACTGTACCTAGTCATAGCTGACACTGTACCTGGTCATGGATGGTACTGTACCTGGTCATGGCTGGCACTGTACCTAGTCATAGCTGGCACTGTACCTGGTCATGGATGGCACTGTACCTGGTCATGGATGGTACTGTACCTGGTCATAGCTGGCACTGTACCTGGTCATGGATGGTACTGGTCATGGATGGTACTGTACCTGGTCATAGCTGGCACTGTACCTGGTCATGGATGGTACTGTACCTGGTCATAGCTGGCACTGTACCTGGTCATGGATGGTACTGTACCTAGTCATAGCTGGCACTGTACCTGGTCATAGCTGACACTGTACCTGGTCATAGCTGACACTGTACCTGGTCATGGCTGGCACTGTACCTGGTCATGGATGGTACTGTACCTGGTCATGGATGGTACTGTACCTAGTCATAGCTGGCACTGTACCTGGTCATGGATGGCACTGTACCTGGTCATGGATGGTACTGTACCTGGTCATAGCTGGCACTGTACCTGGTCATGGATGGCACTGTACCTGGTTATGGATGGTACTGTACCTAGTCATAGCTGGCACTGTACCTGGTCATAGCTGGCACTGTACCTGGTCATGGATGGTATTGTACCTGGTCATAGCTGGCACTGTACCTGGTCATGGATGGTACTGTACCTAGTCATAGCTGGCACTGTACCTGGTCATAGCTGGCACTGTACCTGGTCATGGATGGCACTGTACCTGGTCATTGCTGGCACTGTACCTGGTCATAGCTGGCACTGTACCTGGTCATAGCTGACACTGTACCTGGTCATGGATGGTGCTGTACCTGGTCATAGCTGACACTGTACCTGGTCATGGATGGTACTGTACCTGGTCATAGCTGGCACTGTACCTGGTCATAGCTGGCACTGTACCTGGTCATAGCTGACACTGTACCTGGTCATGGATGGTACTGTACCTGGTCATAGCTGACACTGTACCTGGTCATGGATGGTACTGTACCTGGTCATAGCTGGCACTGTACCTGGTCATAGCTGGCACTGTACCTGGTCATGGCTGGCACTGTACCTGGTCATAGCTGACACTGTACCTGGTCATGGATGGTACTGTACCTGGTCATGGCTGGCACTGTACCTGGTCATAGCTGACACTGTACCTGGTCATGGATGGCACTGTACCTGGTCATAGCTGGCACTGTACCTGGTCATAGCTGACACTGTACCTGGTCATGGATGGTACTGTACCTGGTCAT